GGCCCGTCACGCCCGAGAGCCGCCCCTGCAGACCCGTCAGGCCAGCCTCTGCCCGACCGCGCGCCGCCTCTGCAGGCTCTCGCCGCCCACCGCGTCGCCCTGTCCGCGGCGTCGTCGCCTGCCCGCGGCGTCGTCGCCTGCCCGCGACGTAGCCCCTGTCCGCGGCGTCGTCGCCTGCCCGCGACGCAGCCCCTGCCCGCGGCGTCGTCGCCTGCCCACGGCGTCGTCGCCTGCCCGCGGCGCCGTTGTCTGCCCGCGGAGTCGTCGTCTGCCCGCGACGCAGCCCCTGCCAGCGGCGTCGTCGCCTGCCCGCGGCGTCGTCGCCTGCCTGCGGCGTCGTCGCCTGCCCGCGGCGTCGTCGCCTGCCCGCGGCGTCGTCGCCTGCCCGCGGCGTCGCCGCCTGCCCGCTGCGTCGCCTTGCCCACGGCGTCACCATCTGCCCGCCGCGTCGCCCTGCCCGCGGCGTCGCCACCTGCCCGTGCAGCAGCCCCTGGAGCCGCCCGCCACTGCAGCAGCAGCCCCTGGAGCCGCCCGCCACTGCAGCAGCCGCCCCTGGAGCCGCTCGCCACTGCAGCAGCAGCCCCTGGAGCCGCCCGCCACTGCAGCAGCCGCCCCTGGAGCCGCCCGCCACTGCAGCAGCAGCCCCTGGAGCCGCCCGCCACTGCAGCAGCAGCCCCTGGAGCCGCCCGCCACTGCAGCAGCCGCCCCTGGAGCCGCCCGCCACTGCAGCAGCCGCCCCTGGAGCCGCCCGCCACTGCAGCAGCAGCCCCTGGAGCCGCCCGCCACTGCAGCAGCAGCCCCTGGAGCCGCCCGCCACTGCAGCAGCAGCCCCTGGAGCCGCCCGCCACTGCAGCAGCAGCCCCTGGAGCCGCTCGCCACTGCAGCAGCCGCCCCTGGAGCCGCCCGCCACTGCAGCAGCCGCCCCTGGAGCCGCTCGCCACTGCAGCAGCCGCCCCTGGAGCAGCCGCCGCGGCCCGGCCTCGCCCTGCAGCAGCTGCCGCGGAGCTCCCTGCTGCGGCCCGGCCCCGCGGTCGCCACCGTCTTGCGCCTGCCGCGCCGACCACTGGTGAGCATTGCCCTGCCAGCACTGCTACTGCTGCTACTGCCTTTTCTACTCCCACTGCTACTGCTCCTGCTGTTACTGCTGTTACTGCCGCTACTGCTGCTACTGCTGCTCCTGGCGAGGCCAGATGCAGCTCCAGGGCCGTGCGCGTGAGTCCCTCACGCCCCAGCAGCTTCGTGAGTGGTACGCTAGTTGGGGCTGTCGGGGTGGCCGTAGTGGTAGTCGCTCTGGAGTGGGTCGGTCGGGAGCTTCTGGTAGTGGACAGGTGCAGCTGCCGTGTCCTCTTTCACCCCAGCAGCTTCGTGAGTGGTACGCCAGTTGGGGCTGTCGGGGTGGCCGTAGTGGTAGTCGCTCTGGAGTGGGCCGGTCGGGAGCTTCTGGTGATGGCCAGGTGCAGCTGCCGTGTCCTGTGAGTGAGGCTGCCGCTCTAGGTGCTAGTGCGGCTGCTACCCCAGGTGCTGGTGAGGCTACTGCTCTAGGTGCCAGTGCGTCTGCCGCCGGAGGGGCCGGTGAGTCTGCGCTCTCAGGTGCTGCGTCGTCACCGGACACCCACACCTTCACCCTTGACTCGGGTGCTTCCCGCTCCTTCTTCCGAGACTGCACCACTCTCACGCCGCTCAGTCGGCCCGTTGCAGTCTCCCTGGCAGACCCCTCTAGGGGTCCTGTCCTTGCCCACTACTCCACTGTCCTACCGTGTCCAGCGGTCCCGTCTGGCTCCCTGTCGGGTCTTTACCTCCCCTCGTTCTCTACGAACTTGGTGGCGGGTGCTTGTCAGAATGTTACTTGTCTAGCCTGCAGTGGGGTACTCAACAGTGAGTACAACCCTTTAGGGTTTCCTACTTGTATCCCAACTCTTGCTAGTTCAACCATCTCATTCTCACCATTCTCCTTCGCATACCCAAAACCCTAGTCCTAGGGCACATCCTACTACCTCTTAGTGTGGGCCTAGGCTACTAAGCCTAGGCCCCACTCCTAGTATTCCTGACATGGTATCAGAGCAGGCACGTTCCTGCCGCCTTCCTGTATGGGCCCACCACCTGCTTCCGCTGCCGTACTGTCCGCCGCGCGCCCCGTGGTGCGCGGCGGCCAAACCCTAATTTTTCATCCCGCCGCGCGCTCGGAGCGTGCGGCGGTTCTCTACCAGCCGTGCGCCCCGAGGCGCGCGGCGGTTTTCTGCCCGCCGTGCGCCCCGAGGCGCGCGGCGGTTTTCTGCCCGCCGTGCGCCCCGAGGCGCGCGGCGGCTTTCTGCCCCGTCACTCCGCGAGTCGCCCCCGGGAGGAGCTGCGACGGGCGACGGGGACCCGCGCGTCGCCCCCCGTCGCCCGTCGTGGCCCGTGCGACCTCCGTAGGGCCCGCGCGCGGCCCGTCCAGCCTGCGCGCGGCCCGTACGGGCTGCGCCAGGCCCGCGCGCGGCCCGTACGGGCTGCGCCAGGCCCGCGCGCGGCCCGTACGGGCTGCGCCAGGCCCGCGCGCGGCCCGTACGGACTGCGCCAGGCCAGGGCGCGCCTCGAGCCGCCCGCCACTGCAGCAGCAGCCCCTGGAGCCGCCCGCCACTGCAGCAGCAGCCCCTGGAGCCGCCCGCAACTGCAGCAGCAGCCCCTGGAGCCGCCAGCACCTGCAGCAGCAGCCCCTGGAGCCGCCAGCAACTGCAGCAGCAGCCCCTGGAGCCGCCAGCAACTGCAGCAGCAGCCTCTGAAGCCGCCAGCAACTGCAGCATCAGCCTCTGGAGCCGCCAGCACCTGCAGCAGCAGCCCCTGGAGCCGCCAGCAACTGCAGCAGCAGCCTCTGGAGCCGCCAGCACCTGCAGCAGCAGCCCCTGGAGCCGCCAGCAACTGCAGCAGCAGCCTCTGGAGCCGCCAGCACCTGCAGCAGCAGCCCCTGGAGCCGCCAGCACCTGCAGCAGCAGCCCCTGGAGCCGCCCGCACCTGCAGCAGCCGCCCCTGGGAGCCGCCAGCAACTGCTGCAGCCGCCCCTGGAGCAGCCGCCCCTGCCCCTGGACCCGGTACGCTCTGCTGCTGCCCGATGCTGCCCGTGCCTGTGCTGCCCGTGCCTTGTCCCTCGAGCCTACTACCTACCTACCTGTGCCTGTGCCTGTGCCTGTGCCTCTGCCTGTGCCTGTGCCTGTGCCTGCTCGTGCCTTGTGCCTCGAGCCTACTACCTACCTGCCTGTGCCTGTGCCTGTGCCTGTGCCTGTGCCTCTGCCTGTGCCTGTGCCTGTGCCTGTGCCTGCTCGTGCCTTGTGCCTCGAGCCTACTACCTACCTGCCTGTGCCTGTGCCTGTGCCTGTGCCTCTGCCTGTGCCTGTGCCTGTGCCTGTGCCTGCTCGTGCCTTGTGCCTCGAGCCTACTACCTACCTGCCTGTGCCTGTGCCTGTGCCTCTGCCTGTGCCTGTGCCTGCTCGTGCCTTGTGCCTCGAGCCTACTACCTACCTGCCTGTGCCTGTGCCTGTGCCTCTGCCTGTGCCTGTGCCTGTGCCTGCTCGTGCCTTGTGCCTCGAGCCTACTACCTACCTACCTGTGCCTGTGCCTGTGCCTGTGCCTCTGCCTGTGCCTGTGCCTGTGCCTGCTCGTGCCTTGTGCCTCGAGCCTACTACCTACCTGCCTGTGCCTGTGCCTGTGCCTGTGCCTCGTGCCGTGTGCCTCGTGCCTCGTGCCCGCGCCCTCGTGCGCTCTGCTACTGTCTGCGCCCTCGTGCGCACTGTTCTGCTCTGCCCCCCCCCTCCCCCCCCCCCCCCCCCCCCACCACAAGGGGTGTGGGGGTGGCGGGTGTGGGGGTGCTCCGTGTGCGTCGCCCCTTTCCTCCTCCTCCTCCTTCCTCGTCTCCCACTGCTGCAGCTGCCGCTGAGGGGGGTGGATGTGTGGGAGCCGAGGGTTTAGGGTTTCAGGAGTGAAGGGGGAGTGGAGCTAGGGGTGAAGCAGTGGGTGTGTGGGGGGTGTGTGGGACAGTTGGGGGAGGTTGAGCCGAGGCTGCCGTCTTGTCGTCTGCAGCACCTGAAGTCCGGGGCTCTGTCTCGGTAGCGCAGAGTGAGTGCTACACCAGTCGCCCGTGGGTCCGATGCTCCTGCCGCAGCTGCAGAGCCTGTTACTCCTGTATTCCGGGGTGCTTACCTCGGTAGCCACTGAGAGCTTGTGCTGCACCAGTTATCTGAGTCAGCCGCCATGTGTCAGCCGCTCCTGTTGCCCGTGTGACTGCAGCTCCAAACGACGTCTCCTATCTTCTCTCCCCTCACAGTCTCTCCTCCTCCTCACTTGCCCGTTGTGACTACCACTAGCTTTGCTCATAGTTGTGAACTTTAAACTGTTGCTTCTTGAACTTGTGCTCAGAATGTGTGGTGACATTGTGATCCACCCTGAGCTTGTTCTACTTTGCTTGCTCTGCTGATTGCACCCCACTTTGGCTATGGGGGTGTGTCAGAATGTTACTTGTCTAGCCTGCAGTGGGGTACTCAACAGTGAGTACAACCCTTTAGGGTTTCCTACTTGTATCCCAACTCTTGCTAGTTCAACCATCTCATTCTCACCATTCTCCTTCGCATACCCAAAACCCTAGTCCTAGGGCACATCCTACTACCTCTTAGTGTGGGCCTAGGCTACTAAGCCTAGGCCCCACTCCTAGTATTCCTGACAGTGCTGACCTACAGGATGCAGGAGTTGACCAGTTCACCCCTGCGCGTCAGCGGGTGACCCACTGCACGTGTGCGGACACGGGCCGACACTTGGCCACGTTTACCCGTCGGCCGGGGTCGAGCCTGTACACACTGACCACTGAGTCTTCTCCGGTCACCGAGTCTGCTCAGGTAGCAGCGTCGGGTCAGGTGTTTGCTGCGGCGTCCAGGTCTGGTCCTGAGTCTGCCCCCTGCTCGTGTCGTCTCCTGTCCCACCGGACTCTCCTCTGGCACCACCGCCTTGGTCACCCCTCCCTGCCTCGTCTTCGAGGCATGGCGTCCCGTCTTCTTGTCTCTGGCCTCCCCCGGTCCCTCCCTCCCCTTCCTCCGGGGCCTGCCCCCACCTGCGTTCCCTGCGTCGAGGGGCGGCAGCGCGCTGCCCCTCACTCCTCCGAGTTTCCTCCGACAGAGGCTCCGCTGCAGACGCTTCACATGGACGTGTGGGGCCCAGCCCGCGTCCGTGGACAGGGTCAGGAGCGTTACTTCCTGCTGGTGGTTGACGATTACTCGCGTTACACCGCAGTCTTCCCCTTGCGCAGCAAGGGTGACGTCACTGAGGTGTTGATCGCCTGGATCCGCGCAGCTCGTCTCCAGCTCCAGGAGAGTTTCGGCTCCGACTTTCCTGTTCGGCGTCTGCACTCCGACAGAGGCGGAGAGTTCTCCTCTGACCTTCTGCGGGCCTTCTGTCGCGCACGAGGCATCCGCCAGACCTTCACGCTTCCGGACTCTCCGCAGCAGAATGGGATTGCTGAGCGCCGCATCGGCATGGTCATGGACGTCGCTCGTACGTCCATGATCCATGCGGCTGCTCCCCATTTTCTGTGGCCGTTTGCGGTTCGGTACGCGGCGCATCAGCTCAACCTTCACCCCCGGGTCTCCATGCCGGAGACCTCCCCTGCTTTGCTGTGGACGGGGAAGGTTGGTGATGCGTCGCGTTTCCGGGTCTGGGGATCTAGGGCGTTTGTCCGCGACTTGTCTGCGGACAAGCTGTCCTCTCGTGCTGTTCCCTGCGTCTTCCTTGGCTTTCCCCCTGACGCGCCAGGCTGGCAGTTCTACCACCCCACCTCGCGCCGTGTCTTCGCGTCCCAGGACGTCACCTTTGACGAGTCGGTTCCCTACTACCGTCTCTTCCCCTACCGCACTGCGTCCCTCCCTCCCCCGCCGCTCTTCCTTACGCCAGGTCCCCCTCCGGTAGACCCCCTCCCCCCTCAGGGTCCTGCTCCCTCAGGTGTGTCCCAGGTAGATGCAGTTGAGCCAGTCGAGGTAGCTGTTGACTCTGGTGCTGCTGGTGGTGCTGAGCCTGGGGGTGCTGGGTCTGGGGGTGCTGCGACTGGGGGTGCTGAGCCTGGGGGTGCTGAGCCTGGGTGTGCTGAGCCTGGGGGTACTGAGCCTGGGGGTGCTGCGCCTGGGGGTGCTGCGTCTGGGGGTGCTGCGTCTGGGGGTGCTGCGCCTGGGGGTGCTGCGCCTGGGGGTGTTGAGCCTGGGGGTGCTGAGCCTGGAGGTGCTGAGTCTCGGAGTGCGGAGCCTGAGAGTGCTGGACCTGCTCGTCTGGCGTCTGGTGGTGCTGAGCCTGGCAGTTCTTCGGGTGCTTCGTCCCGGCGGGAGCTGCTCTCTCCACAGGAGCTGCGTGAGTGGTTCGCCCGGCGCTGGCGGCGTGCTGCTGGAGCTGGTGGTGCTGCAGGAGCTGGAGGTTCTACTGCTGCTGAGAGTGCTGGTGCCGAGGGTCCCAGAGGTGCTCGTACCGAGTGTACTGGAGCTGCTGGCCCTACGAGTGCTCCTCCTGCTGGAGCTGGTGGTGCTGCTGGTGCTGCTGGCGTTGGTGCTGCTGGTGCTCCTGGAGCTGGAGCTGCTGGTGCTGCTGGTGCTGCTGGTGCTGCTGGCGTTGGTGCTGCTGGTGCTCCTGGAGCTGGAGCTGCTGCGTCTTCGGGTGGTCCGGCTGGAGCTGGAGCTACTGGGGGTGTTGGCGCTGGGGGTGCTCCTGGCGCTGGTGCTGCTGAGGGTGCTGGAGTTGGAGCTGCTGGAGCTGGGGGTCCTCCTGGTGCTGGTGCTCCCGCTGGGGGTGCTGGTGCTGTTCCTGCTGGCACTGGTGGAGCTGCGCGGCCACGGCCGTACTTCGTTCCGCTCCTTGAGCAGGTTCTTGGTCTTCCGTCCTCTCTTGGTCCTGCTCCTGCCTTAGAGTGTCCGCCTCCTGTCCAGTCTGAGTCACAGTTACAGCCACCTTCCCCGCTTCCTTCTCCTTCTCCCTACACTGGTCCTACTGGAGGTCTTGCTGAGCGTCGTGAGCCTGCGTCTCGCCCTGCGTCGCCTGTCCGCGCTGCTCGCACTAGTGGTCGTGGTTCCCGTCAGCGTCCTCCCCCTGTCCCCGGTACGCACCAAATGTCTTTGCGTCCTTCCACTGCTCCTCTGCGTGCCCCTTTGCCTTCTCCTCCCGCGTCCTCTCTTCCTGACCTTCCTGACCCTGAGTCGGACTCCCTTCGTGCGGCGCGTCCTACTGTCACGCGTCTCCTTGCTACTGTTGTCACTGACCCTTCCTTTGAGTCTACTGCTGCGTCTGCTCTGGTTGCTGAGCTTGTCGACTTCGCTGCCCGCTGTCGCCTAGACTACGCTGCCAGTCTCGTCGCTGAGTCTGAGTCTGTCTGTCCTCCGTCCGTCGGGGGTGAGTGTGCTCTTGGCACGGACGTCCTTGAGGACAGGCAGGAGGAGTTCCAGTGCTTGGCTGCTGCTTCACCTCATCTCGTGTCCATGCTGCTTGCCCCTGAGGGAGACCCGGATGCACTTGACATCCCGACTCCACGCTCTTACGCGGAGGCGATAGAGGGTCCCTACTCTTCTCAGTGGCAGGCAGCCATGGACGCAGAGATGGCTTCCTGGAAGTCCACAGGCACCTACGTTGACGAGGTTCTCTCGCCTGGGGCGAACATTGTCAGTGGCATGTGGATTTTCAGGGTGAAGCGGCCGCCGGGTTCTCCGCCTGTCTTCAAGGCGCGTTACGTGGCTCGTGGCTTCAGTCAGCGGCAGGGAGTTGACTACTTTCATACCTTCTCTCCCACCCCGAAGATGACCACTCTTCGGGTACTGCTGCACATAGCCGCTCACCGAGACTACGAGCTGCACTCTCTTGACTTCAGCACAGCTTTCCTGCAGGGCAGCCTGCACGAGGAGATCTGGCTGCGCCGCCCACCTGGATTCACTGGGTCTTTTCCTCCTGGCACCCAGTGGAGCCTCCGGCGGCCAGTCTACGGTCTCCGCCAGGCGCCTCGTGAGTGGCACGACACACTGAGGACTACACTTGCGGCTCTTAGGTTTGCTCCTTCTACTGCCGACCCGTCGCTGTTTCTGCGCACCGACTCTTCCTTGCCGCCGTTCTACATCCTCGTGTACGTCGACGACTTGGTCTTTGCTACAGCTGACACTGCTGGACTTGCCTACGTGAAGTCCGAGCTGCAGAAGAGACACACGTGCACAGACCTGGGTGAACTGCGCAGCTACCTTGGCTTGCAGATCACCCGGGACAGAGCACAGCGCACCATTACCCTGACTCAGTCACACATGGTGCAGCAGGTCCTTCAGCGCTTCGGCTTCACGTACTCCTCGCCTCAGGCCACTCCTCTGCCTACACGCCACTCGCTCTCAGCTCTGCCTTCGGATGAGTCCGTAGAGTCGAGTGGCCCGTACCCAGAGCTTGTCGGCTGCCTCATGTACCTGATGACCTGCACTCGACCTGACCTTGCATACCCTCTTAGCATTCTGGCACGCTTTGTTGCTCCTGGGAGACACAGACCAGAGCACATGGCTGCAGCGAAGAGGGTGTTGCGCTACTTGTGCAGTACGTCGGGCATGGGGCTTGTGCTTGGAGGGCAGAGTTCAGTGGTCCTCACTGGTCACGCAGACGCTTCTTGGGCTGACGACCAGGCTACGCAGCGGTCGTCACAGGGTTACACCTTCAGCCTTGGCTCCGGCTCTGTTTCGTGGCGGTCTACCCGCTCGTCTTCTGTTCTCGGCTCCAGTTGTGAGGCTGAGATCTACGCAGGGGCCATGGCTGCACAGGAGTTACGCTGGCTCACCTACCTGCTGACTGACCTGGGAGAGCCGCCTCGTTCTCCTCCAGTGCTGTACGTAGACAACAAGGCCATGCTGGCCTTGTGTCGGGAGCACAGACTGGAGCACAGAACGAAGCACATCGCTCTCCGCTACTTCCTTGCTCGTGAGCTGCAGCAGCGTGGTCAGCTGCGCCTTGCTTACGTGGCCTCTGAGGCCAACACTGCTGATATCTTCACCAAGGCACTCGCGCCTTGTGATCATCAGCGCTTCTGTACTCTGTTAGGTCTTGTGCCTACCTTGCCTCACTTGCTTACTTCTTGACCTTGCTTGTACTGTTACATATATATACCTGCCCTTGCTTGTTTAGCGTTATATATATGTACCCTTGCATGTGAACTGGCCTTGTGGCCTTGAACTTGTGCTCAGACTGTGTGGTGACGTTGTGATCCACCCTGAGCTTGCTTTGCCTTGCTTTGCTTGACTGGTCTTGTGACCCCTTGTTCTCCCCCACTTTGCCTATGGGGGTGTGTCAAACTCATACACTATAGTCTGTGTAGGCTGTAGTGGGGTAGCTTATATGGGGTACAACATTCTAGGGTTTGGTACTTGTACTCCTCATGCTGCTCAATGCAACCCATTCTCGTTCTATTCTAAGATTCTAACAGTTTGTATGGTCCTTGTTGAAACTGTACCTTGCCATGTTGCAGGTCGACATGACATCGGTGCAGTCGACCCTGCGCCGCACCCTGATCACCATCCGTACGCGCTACATCGAGTGCGGCGGCGATGACTTTGGTGGCGGCCCGCAGCTACATCTCGGGGCCTTCCTAGCCAGGCTCAAAAAGTCCCCGACAATCACAGTGGCAGGTGTGGACAAGGAGGGGGAGAAGCGACAACATAGCTTCGACCTGCACGAGGAGGCATTGACGGGCTACAGCAAGACCCCGGATGACTTGCAGTCATGCCTCGACGTCTGCCGCCGCCACGCCAATTCGACGCTCACCCACCTCCAGAAGAGGCTGGGGGATCTAGACAGCCTGAACGGTGTCCGGCTTTTCATGCCAGACACGCACCCTGAAGACAAGGAGGGACGCGCTGAGGAGTGTCGCGAGCACTTCGAGACTCTCGTCAACTTGTTCCATGCCCGCGAACGCGCAGACATTCTCTCGGGTAAGCACTAGTGTTCTGTTCCTACTCGTTGTGTCCTATGTCCACAATCTGCCAATTTCTGTCCCTGCTATGTATGTATCCAACAATCTGACTTGTTCTGCCCCTCCCTCCTTTTTTTTCTCTTTTTTTGTTATGTGTGTTATGCGTGGCAGGTGTGGACAAACGTGCTGCCAAGAAGGAAATGAGGACTTTTGTCCCTGTTCTGGCTGGCGCTCCCAAAGGCGAGCGCACATTTCAACGCGGGCTGGCGGCCATGCTGCGAACGAAGGACTGGGAGCGGAGCTACCCCAACCTCGTCCGCCTCTGGACAGCGGTGGCTGTCCTGCCGCTCAGCACCGTCGAGTGTGAGCGCGGCTTTAGCCGCCAGAACGTGATTAAGTCCTGGCAGAGGACCAGCCTCTGTGATGCCAGGCTTAGTGACTTGATGTGCCTGAGCCTAACTGAGTATGACATGGAATGGGGTAAAGTTGTGGATTTGTGGCGCAGCAGCAAGAAGAGGAGGCCTATTAAGAGAAGGGAGCAGCAGAGGAAGGCGGGGAAGGGGAACGGCTTGGAGGACGGACAAGAAGCAGATACTGAACATGGCAGCGGCAGCAGCAGCGACAGTGGGTTTAGTAGCAGCAGCGAAGATGATGATGAGGAGGAGGAGGGCTACGAGGTGGTGCAGGAGTTAATTGCCTAGTAAAACACCAACTATACGTGCGCTGCAGCGCTGCGGCTGCTCTGCTATGCTAAACAGAGTCTGGTCTGGTCTGTTTGTGATAAAATCAGAACCCTGAACACTAATATTTTTGCCCTGACAGGTCAGGATTAGTTTCTGCAAAAGCCCTGACCAATCAGGAAGGCTCTGAAGATTTGCCCTGAGAAATCAGGGCATTTTTTAAGATTCTAGAAAAGTGCCCTGAGGGCTCAGGGTGCCCCAAAACCTAGCACGGGCCCTGGCGTGTGACAACGCCGCTTACCAAACGCTTGAGAATACATACATATATAATGTGTGTGTATGTATGTATATATAGAGATACCGTCAGGCCTCCCGTTATCAGGGTAAAATACCCTTTTTGCACTGACTGGCGGCCGCTTTTTTTCAGTTACCCTTTCACAGGCAGGGTAGTGGATTTTTTACCCTAGGCCAGAAAGTGTAAGTTTTTTTGTACCCTTTGAAAAACAGCGTAAGGAATACATTTCTCTGACTGTAACACTGTACAATCCCAGATTGAATGATACCGAAAGCTCCGTAGCGAGACCAACGACCATTCGGGCCCCTGCAAAATACTCACCTTTAGCGAGACTCGAACCTGCGATCTTTCAAATAGTAATTGTAGTTGAATCAACTGAGCCACAGTGATATTTGGGTATTATCATTTATAGTGGGTTTTCAAAAACACCCTGGCCAAACAGACTAACATTTTTTTTACCCTGCATTTGTCAGGGAAACAAAAAAATTACCCTACGCATCAGGGTTGACTATACCTAGAACCCTGATTACTAAGGGTGGCCCAAAACCAATCTGGAGCCCTGGATACCGTCTTGGCTGGTGCTTATTATGGAAACATCAAAGCTGCGTTTGATCATTTAGTTAAAGTCACTAGAGGAGCAGATCCTTCTATACCTGTACAGATGGCCCAACGGCAGCAAATTCTACGAGAACCAGGCTTAAGAACCAAAATTCATATTATCGTCATCATCTGGATATAAGACAATGTCGAATCTAAGAGAGGGGGTATCTTTAAAACGGGTGTATCTTATACTTGAGTGTTCCTGATTTTAAGACCTACACACGTGTACAAGTTAAGACACCCTCTTGTGTCAGAACCCCAGCCACTAGACCACTGGAATACCGTATTCTCCCGGACAAAACACCCCCCCATGATAGAGCACCCCCGGGTAGCTTGTGCGGGGTGGGTGCTATGGGCGACCTCGATTTCACTATACCCTGTCAAATTATATATGTAACATATATGTGTAGGCTGTAGTGGGGTAGCCAATATGGGATATAGCCCTCTTTAGGGTTTCATTTTTGTACCCAACTTTGACCTAGTCCAATTCATTCCTGCCTAGACTTCTGACATGGTTTCAGAGCATACATGGCAGTAAGGATAGCGTCATAGTCTAGAGCAAATATATCTACTCCGTCTCGAAGCAGCTCTAGCCAGAGGGGTAGCTCAGCCTCGTCGCCAAACCGTGCTCGCCAAGCGTCGCTCAGACGGGAGAAGCAGCGGGACTCTGTGTGACTAACGGTCCCACAGGTCTGACCAGCCCGATCACCTGTGCAAATGACGTACGGGCAGCGAGCAGTAGTCCTACACCCCCAACTCTGAGCGTACCACTCATGCAGCTGCCGGGGCGTAAGGGTCTCGCTCGGACGCCGCTGCAGCTGCATCTGGCCACCGCCAGGAACTCCGCACTGACCAGCTCCACCGCGACTGCCACGACGGCCGCCGCCAGCACACCACCTGGCGTACCACTCACGAAGCTGCTGGGGCGTAAGGGTCTCGCGCGGACGCCGCTGCAGCTGCATCTGGCCAGCGCCAGACACTCCCCACCGAACAGCTCCACAGCGACGACTACTACTACGGCCGCCACCACTCCCACTGCTGCCACCACCGCCGTCACCACTCCCACCGCTACTACGAAGGGAAGTCATAGCGGGTAAGCGAGGAGGCGCACGAGCAGCAGCAACAGCAGTAAGAGCAGTAGAGCGGCCCGGTGAGTCTAGGCTGCAGCACCTCTAGCACTCCTAGCAGCACCTCCAATTTGACGAGTCGTCCCCTTTTACCGTCTCTTTCCCTACCGCACTGCCGCTCGCCCCCCCCCCCCTCCGCTCTTTCTCGCTCCAGGTCCTCCCCAGGTAGACCCCCTCCCCGCGCCAGGTCCTGCTCCTTCAGGTGTTTCTCAGGTAGACCCTCCTGTGCCTGAGCCTGTTGAGGTCACTGGTGACTCAGGTCCTGCTGGGGGTGGTCCTGCTCGGGGTGCTGTCTCTGGGGGTGCTGAGCCTGGGGGTGCTGCGTCTGGGGGTGCTGAGCCTGAGCGAGTGGACCCTCGGGGTGCTGAGCCTGGGGTTGCTGATTCTGGGGTGCTGAGCCTGAGCGTGTGGAGCCTGGGGGTGCTGAGCCTGGAGGTGCTGAGCCTGAGCGTGAGGAGACTGGAGGTACTACGTCTGGGGGTGCTGCGTCTGGGGGTGCTGAGCCTGCGTGTGAGGAGCCTGGGGGTGCTGAGTCTGGGGGTGCGGCGCCTGAGGGTACTGAGACTGCTTGTGCGCGGTCTCCTTGGAGTTGCCGCGTTCGTCCGCGTGCGCCTCTCTCCCCACAGCAGCTGCACGAGTGGTACGCTCGCCGTCAGGGTCGCGCTGCTGGAGCTCGGGGCTCTGCCGCTGGAGGCGCTTCTGCTGACGTCCCTGGAGCTGGGGGTGCCGGTTCAGAGGGTACTGGGGCTGGTGCGAGAGGTGCCGACGACGCTGGAGCCGCTGGGCCTGAGGACGCTGGAGCTGGTGGTACTGCTGACCCCGCTGCAGGAGGTGCTGTTGGAGCTGCTGACACTGGAGCTGGGAGTACTGCGGGTACTTTGTCTGCTGGAGGTGCTGGAGCCGCTAGACCCGGAGGTGCTCGTACTGGAGGTACTAGAGCTGCTGGGGCTGGAGGTGCTGCGTCTGGGGGTGCTACTGCTGGAGACCCTGGGACTGGAGGTGCCGATTTTGGGGGTGCTGCTGCTGGAGACACTGGGACTGGAGTTGCCGGTTCTGGGGGTGCTGCTGCTGGTGACGCTGGTACTGGCGGTGCTGGCGCTGGAGGTTCTGCGGCTGCTAGTGGTGCTGGCGCTCGAGGAGCTGGAGCTGGAGGGTCTGGAGCTGCTGGGGATTCTGGAGCTGCTGGAGGCACTAGAGCGACTGGTGCTGGTGGCACTGCTGCGCAGCGACTGTTCTTCTCTCCGCCGTCACCTTCGTCCGCCTCCTGACACAGTGCTTCGTCAGGTTCTTAGCCTGCCGTCTTCCACTGGCCTACCGTTACAGCCAGGCTCCCCCCTGCCTGCTCCCTCTCCTTACACTGAGCAGACAGGAGGTCTTACTGAGCGTCGCGAGCCTGCGTCCCGTCCTGTCTCGCCTGTTCGCACTGGTCGCACTGGTCGTGTTAGTCGTGAGCGTCCTCCTCCTGTCCCTGGCATTCTGGCACATTATGGCAATTCGTCCTGTCTCAGTTCCACAGCGTATTCCTCTGCCGTCTCCTCCTGCGTCCTCTTTGTGTGATGTTCGGGACCCTGAGTCTGACCGGTTTCGTGCTGAGCACCCTACTGTCACACGTCTGCTAGCCACTGTTGTCAGTGACGCGTCGTTTGAGTCTGCTGCTGCATCTGCCCTAGTCGCGGCTCGTTGACTTTGCTGCTGCCTGTCGTCTAGACTACGCTGCTAGCCTTGTTGCTGAGTCTGAGTCTGTTTGTCCTCCGTCCGTCAGGGGTGAGTGTGCTCTTGGCACGGACGTCCTTGAGGACGGGCACGAGGACCTTGAGTGTCTTGCAGCCGCTGCGCCTCATCTCGTGGCCATGCTGCTTGCCTCTGAGGGAGACCCGGATGCTGTAGACATCCCGACCCCGCGCTCTTACGCTGAGGCGATCGCGGGTGAGTACTCCTCTCAGTGGCAGGCAGCCATGGACGCAAAGATGGCATCCTGGAAGTCCACAGGCACTTATGTCGACGTAGTTCCCCCTCCCGGGGCGAACATCGTCGATGGCATGTGGATTTTCAGGGTGAAGCGGCCGTCGGGTTCTCCGCCTGTCTTCAAGGCTCGTTACGTTGCTCGAGGCTTCAGTCAGCGAGAGGGAGTTGACTTCTTCCAGATCTTCTCCCCCACCCCGAAGATGACCACTCTTCGGGTGCTGCTGCACGTTGCCGCTCAGCGTGACTACGAGCTTCACTCTCTTGACTTCAGCACAGCCTTCTTACAGGGCAGCCTGCACAAGGAGATCTGGCTACGCCGCCCACCTGGCTTCACTGGGTCGTTCCCTCCTGGTACCCAGTGGA